GAAAAGGAAGTGGATATGGTTCTCTTGCAAGAAAACAAAAATTGGCAGCAATTCTATAGATATGGTAAGATCACTATGGTATAGAGATCAGGTGGAATTCATGGAAGTGGACGCGTTCAGTTTAGCTGGGGCATACTATGTATATGGGACCTTCTGTGTTTCTCTCTATCTGCTTGTTGTAGTAACAAAAGTTTTATACTATTATCAAGTTACTCTCTCGTAACTTGAGTGTGTTATTATTAACATTTATGCCCTAATGATGTATCTTGTAGGGCTACTTTTTGGGATTCTCTTTGTAATTTTAAAATCTGAATTCCTAAACCTTTGGTGTTTGGGTGGGGATTTCAATAAGATCAAGAATTTGAGGAGCATAAAGCATGCTCTAGAAGGGATAGAGGATGCAAGATTTTAATAATTTTATAAGTAAATGGAAGTGTCTGATTTACCCTGTTAGGTAGGCAATTCACATGGAGCAATTCCCAGGATGAAGCAAGGTGGAGTAGGCTAGACAGATTCATGTTTAATCCAGAGTGGCTGGAGTAAATTTAAGTTCAAACTTTGGGGGTTACCACGAGTCATCTCAGACCACTGTCCAGTGCTTTTATTGGATAGTAGAAATTGATTGGTGACCATGTCCTTTTAAGTTTATTAATGCATGGCTTTTGCATCCTCTGTTCCTTCCACTTGTCAAGAAAACATGGTTAGAAGCAGAGGCTCATGGGTGGGTTGGTTTTGTTCTGTGGAAAAATTGAAAATCTTAAAGGAGGTCATAAGGAAATGGAATGTTGAAGTTTATGGAAACTTGACTCTGAACATCAGAAGGCTGAAGAGATTACATGTGTAGATCTTCAGTTGAAAACCAGAATTTTGGAATGATTTGAAATTTAAGAAGAAGGATGTAAGAGATGAGTTGTGGAAGGTAAGCAGGAGAAATGGGTGCACTACTAGAAAAAACACTTTCCGTGACGAACATTTTTGGTCGCGAAAAGTACCATATTTTGGTCGCTAAAAACTTTTCGCGACCAAATATGTTGGCGCGAGTTGGTCGCTTAAAGCCTCGTCGCAGATAGTTTTCTGCGACCAAAAAAGCCTTTTGGGCGCTAAAAGTGGACATTCGCGACCAACTTTTTGGTCGCGAAAAGTCCAATAATATTAGCCAAAAGTAAAACTTTTTGCGACCAAAGATAAGTTGGTCGCCAAAAAGTCAACGCTTGACCCAAAAAAAATAATTCTTTGTGGCTCCCTGGGACTTGGAGTCCGACCAAGAGTCACCATGCACCCAATCCACTCTGCCACTCTACCAATAAACAACTTCTTGTTCATATTTGACAAAAAAAAATATATAACCCATAAAAATTGGTTATATATTATTTTATAAAAACTTTTAATGCCTAAATAGAAAAATAGCATGTAATTACTGTAGTATCATTTTTTTTTTAAATTTATCCCGCCATAACTTTTCCGCGACCAACTTTTTTTTTGGTCGCCCAAAGGGAGTAATCTTCCGCGACAAAAAAGCCTCTGGTCGCCAATAGTTAGACTTTTTCACGGACCAAACTTTTTTTTTGTCGCCAAAAGGTGATCTTCTGCGACCAAAAAAGCCTTGGTCGCCAATAGCATACTTTCCGCGACCAAAAAAGCCTGTTGTCGCCAATAGTATACTTTCCGCGACCAACTTTTTTTTTGGTCGCCAAAGGGTATACTTTCCGTGACCAACTTTTTTTTTGGTCGCCAAAAGGTGATCTTCGCGACCAAAAAAGCCTTTGGTCGCCAATAGTATACTTTCGCGACCAACTTTTTTTTGGTTCGCCAAAAAAGTGATTTCCGCGACCAAAAAATTGTGGTCCCAAAAGTTAAATTTTAGTCGCAGAAAGTGACTATTTGCGACCAAAAAAAATAGGTGGTCGCAAAGTGTTTTTTCTTGTATGGTGGGGGGTTATGGTGCAAAAAATCTTGACTACATGGGCATTGAAGGGGGACCATAACACCAAGTTTTTTTCATCTTATGGCCTCAAGTAGACAAACTAGAAATCTCTTAGCTCTGTCTCAGTGATGGTATTGTGCATGTAGATCCTCAAAGGCTAGAATCTAAAGTGTTTACACACTTTAAGAAGTTGTTCTCTGAATGAGTGGAAAATAAGGTCTAAGTTGGGTTGACCCTTCAACATATTGATAGTGAACAATCATCTACAGTTTTGGAAGTCGAATTTTCTGCAACAGAGGCTGTGCTGCAATTAAAGGTTGTGATGGCAATGAAGCTCCTGGCCCGGATGGGTTTAATCTGATGTTCTTTCAGAATTAAATGGCCAGTTTTCAGGAATGAATTTATGCGCTTCTTTACGGAATTCCATGAGCATGGGATTCTACTTAAAGGCTGATAAACTCTTTTGTGGCTCTTATCCCAAAGAAAGAAAATCCTACCAATTTGGTTGACTTTCGACCAATTAGTTTAATTGGTTCTGTATATAAAATATTAGCTAAATGCTTGTTGCAGGGCTAAGTTGGTGTTGCTTAAAGATCATAGGAGATGTGCAATCAGTTTTGTTGGGGCAGGGAATATACAAGATGGGGTGCTTATTACAAATGAAATGGTGGATATTGGAAGAAGAGGAAGAAAAAAGGACTAATTCTAAAAGCTTGATTTTGAGAAAGCTATGACTCTGTGAAATTGGGATTTTTTATTCTCTATGTTGGCTAATCTTGGGTTTGGCAATAGATGGATTACCTGGATGAAAGCTTTTGTGACTACGGCAGAACCTCAATCCTAGTAAATGGTCCCCAACTGCTGAATTCAATCCTGAAAGAGGCTCAGGCAAGGAGACCCTTTGTCACTTTCTTATTCATCATTGTTGGTTGAGGCTTAAACATTTTGCTAGCCAGAGCCAAAGAGATTGGGGCTTTTTAAAGGTGTGTACAGTGGGGACTTGTGAAGAAACCATATCACATTGCAATTTGCCTGATGATACAATTAGTCTTTGCAAAGCTGAATGGTGTGAGTATTGAATGTGATAAAGGATCTCTTAGATGTTTTGAGATCATGTTTCCCTCAAGATAAACTATCATTAAACGTAGTAGTTTGTGGGAATAGGAGTTCCGGTATGATGATGGTGACTGACTTTGCTTGCATCTAAATTGAAATTTGTTATGAAAATATCATACATCTCACTGTATTATATTGGTTTCCTTTGGTGTGGCAAATCCTAGTGAGGGAAGAGTAACTGGGCATTATAATATTTGAGTAAGTGTCAGAGGAGGCTTGCATCTTGGAAAAGGAGATTTCTTTCTTTTGGGCGTAGGCTTACACTTTCATCAATCATTCTATCCAGCTTCCAAGTTAATATATGTCTTTTCAAAATACCCTGAAGGTGTTGCCAAGAGCTATTGATAGAATCCAAGCTTCTTCTTCTTGAAGGCTCTGATTTGAAAAGGAAGATCCATTTGGTGAAATTGGAGAGGTTAACCAAGAGTATAGAGGGGGGTTTTTGGGGTTAGGAAGGTTAGAGAATTTAAATGACTGTCTTTTTAATCTCTCTC